TTTCTAGCTTCCATATTTGCAGGCTGCTGCTCTTTTGCTGCCAAATTTGTAATGTCTGCTGTCCTGTTTGGTACTCTGGGAATTTTTATATACAGGTGCTGGTCATAAAATTAGAATATCATGAAAAAGTAGATTGATTTCAGTAATTCCATTTAAAAAGTGAAACTTGTATATTATATTCATACATTACATACAAACTCATATATTTCAGATGTTTATTTTGTTTAATTTTGATGATTACAAATGACAACAAATGAAAATCTCAAATTCATCATATCAGAAAATTAGAATATTGTGAAAAGGTTCAAAATTGATGGCCCCTGGTGCCACACTCTAATCAGCTAATTAACTCAAACCACCTGCAAAAGCCTTTAAATGGTCTTTCAGTCTAGTTCTATAGGCTACACAATCATGGGGAAGACTGCTGACTTGACAGTTGTCCAAAAGACGACCATCGACACCTTGCACAAGGAGGGCAAGACACAAAAGGTCATCGCTAAAGAGGCTGGCTGTTCACAGAGCTCAGTGTCCAAGCACATTAATAGAGAGGCGAAGGGAAGGAAAAGATGTGGTCGAAAAAAGTGTACAAGCAAGAGAGATAACCGCACCCTGGAGAGGATTGTGAAACAAAACCCATTCAAAAATGTGGGGGAGATTCACAAAGAGTGGACTGCAGCTGGAGTGAGTGCTTCAAGAACCACCACACACAGACGTATGAAAGACATGGGTTTCTGCTGTCGCATTCCTTGTGTCATGCCACTTTTGAACCACAGACAGCGTCAGAAGCGTCTTGCCTGGGCTAAAGAGAAACAGGACTGGACTGCTGGTGAGTGGTCCAAAGTCATGTTCTCTGATGAAAGTAAATTTTGCATTTCCTTTGGAAATCAAGGTCCCAGAGTCTGGAGGAAAAGAAGAGAGGCACTTCATCCACGTTGCTTGAAGTCCAGTGTAAAGTTTCCACAGTCAGTGATGGTTTGGGGTGCCATGTCATCTGCTGGTGTTGGTCCATTGTGTTTTCTGAGGTCCAGGGTCAACGCAGCCACATACCAGGAAGTTTTAGAGCATTTCATGCTTCCTGCAGCTGACCAACTTTTTGGAGATGCAGATTTCATTTTCCAACAGGACTTGGCACCTGCACACAGTGCCAAAGCTACCAGTACCTGGTTGAAGGACCATGGTATCCCTGTTCTTAATTGGCCAGCAAACTCTCCTGACCTTAACCCCATAGAAAATCTATGGGGTATTGTGAAGAAGAAGATGCAATACACCAGACCCAACAATTCAGAAGAGCTAAAAGCCACTATTAGAGCAACCTGGGCTATCATAACACCTGAGCAGTGCCACAGACTGATCGACTCCATGCCACGCCGCATTGCTGCAGTAATACAGGCCAAAGGAGGCCCAACTAAATACTGAGTGCTGTACATGCTCATACTTTTCATGTTCATACTTTTCAGTTGGCCAACATTTCTATAAATCCTTTGTTTTTATTGGTCTTCAGTAATATTCTAATTTTCTGATATGATGAATTTGAGATTTTCATTTGTTGTCATTTGTAATCATCAAAATTAAACAAAATAAACATCTGAAATATATGAGTTTGTATGTAATGTATGAATATAATATACAAGTTTCACTTTTTAAATGGAATTACTGAAATCAATCTACTTTTTCATGATATTCTAATTTTATGACCAGCACCTGTAATTGGATCGGGAACCAGGAAGTAAACACAGGCTACACACTGCACCAAAGTAGGTCAAGACAAATGAAAATGAATGTGCTTATTTTTACAGAACATTTCTGACTTGTTACTCCTTTAAAATTAATGTGAATATTCTTTGATTCTGTCAGTTATATAAACTGTGAGAACTCATTAGAACTTATATTCACATACATTATCATTTATTTTAGTCGACAATTACTATGAAGAAATTCTTTGATTATTTAAACTTTTCATGAAACAAAAAAGCTGTTTTTGATGTCAGAAGTATGTATATCTCCCATCTGTTTTTTCTTTTGCACCCTTGTCCCTTTTTTTTTAGTTTTGGCGATTGTATCTGGGCGACTCAATTAATCCTCTTTAAAATAATCACAGTGGATGAAGTGTCTTCTTCAGCGATTAATTAGCTGGTTTAGAAACAGTTTTGAAATGTAAACCCAAGAGGGTCTAAACATTCAGAAGAGGGTTGAAATGTTGTCTTTACTTCTCTTTTCAGTTCGACACGTCATAACGTACTGAGTATACAGACTTTCTTATTTTTTAAAGTTCTCACAGGACTTCGTTTTTTCTTAGAATGTAGGATAAAACATTTTATATGTAGGATTTAGCACTAAACAAGCTTAAATTGGATGCACCCTTTCTTGGGAAATGCTATAAATAGTAAAATCAGTAAAACATAAACCAGCAATTCGGATTAATCCTTAAAAAAAAACGACTGCGTTGAGGGATTGATGGTTAAAGCACCTGATTTGAACTTGCTGGTTTTAGTTCCTCTGAGCTGTTATTTGATCCAGGACAGCCTTGACACCCCAACACGCCGGTGTAAGAAGTAGAGAAAAGCTTTGAACTCGTCTCATCTACCCTGTATCTGGGACCAAAGTGAAAATGCAACAGATCCAAGGGCCGGGCTGTTTATGTTTCTGGGTGCGCTACGTTAAAACAGAGGCACCAAAGACAGCCGCGGGACTTTACAATTTATCAAGAGGGTTTTGTTGTTTTTTTCCCATCAGCAGAGCTTTACACACCTGTGCTTTCGTTTAAGAGTCCTGACACATTTTCGTAATCACAGTTTATTCCCTACTAGACAGAAAAAATATATTTTATTTTAGATTTAAAATATGTTTTTTTGTTTAATCTTTGGGAAGGATAGATAGATGATGGTTATATTGAACAGATTAATGAATAGAGGGTTATACAAACAATCTTCATGCAAAGATAAATGAATGAATGACAGGATGCTGAACAAACAGATCAGAGTTGGGACGGACAAATGGAAATACTGAAAAATAGCTGGACTGACAAATAAATGGAAGAACAGACGGATGGATGGAGTAACAGGAGGGAAAAAAGGATAGATGGACAAACAGAGGGATTGATGGGTGGACCAGAGATATATATTTGGATCAATGGAAAAACTGATTGATGGACAAACTGATGGATGAAACAAATGAAAAGGTGAACAGATGGATGAATGGAGGGACGAACTGACCGACCAGCAGTGATGGCTGAGCAATGATGTACAGATGGACCAGCTGAATGATGGAATGAATGCATTCATTTATAGTCAACAGGATATGAAGAATCTGAAACCATTTTCATACTTTTATACAACTCAGTTAATAGTACTAAGAACCTGAACTCCAATTATGATCACCTTTAGTTAAACTCTTAAATACGTTGTATTATCACAACAAGAATAAAACCACAAAGCCTTTAAGCAAGAAATGTATAAAAAATTATTTAATGCCTGAGCTGGACTGGCCATCACACGTACAGCCCAATGCCCTGTGGGCCGACACACATTTTAGGCCCAGCCCAGTGCTGTCAAAATGCCATTGATAAAGTATTAATATTTATTTATTCAATCAACCTAACTAATGTATAAGCAAACTTATTCTAAAACCAACATGATATAAGAATGCAGCTCTTTTTATTTTGATCTCTTAATTTTCCCCGGCCCGCCCAGACATCAACCAATGTGATCAGCCATGAGGGGACTGGGGTGGGAGGGTTCACTGTGTTTTCGCCTGTGGAAATTAATAAAAAAAAATACACAAAACCAAAAATGCTCCAAAGATTTTACGCAAAGTGCATCCAGCTAAATGCACCAAAACAACATCTTTGTTTTGCTCCACAAGTGTGACTGGAGTAGCGGGAAGAAGCAGAGAGGCAGGTGGATTTAATGAGGAAGAGGAGAGAGATTTGATCTAGCAGGGACAGACTGTGGGCAAGGTCAACAAAGCTACAAACAGCCAGAAATAGTTAGCACTGCCAGCACTAATTAAGAATATTTATTGTTTCTAAAGGAGAAATTTCCCTGTTATAGCATAATGGTAGGGATAGGCATAAAGTACTGGCATGCAGTAATAGAAAATAGATTTCCTTTAAACATACAATCTTCATGCTTTAAGTGTGTTCAGCATTATGTGCTATTTGGTATAAAAGACAGATGCTCCCTGTTGGTGGGAAGCTGTTTGAGTGTGTGAGTGGGTGGGGGGGCTTTATATGCCTTTATTTTCAAGTAATGCTTTACATCCAATATGTTTACATTATGGCATATCATTAGTGAAACGCTGCTTTGACAAAATGGAGAATTTATGGTTGGCAGAGGTAAATAGTCACATATGAGTAAAGCATGTTGCATTTTCATAAATATGATGTTACTAGAAATTTTTTTAAATAAATAAAATAATAATAATGATCATATATATATATATATATATATATATTTTTTTTTTATTTATTTATTTATTTTTACTTTAGTTTGCTTATTTTGTAGTACTAGTGTTACTCTACCCACCAAGGGTATCCTCAGTGAAAAATCGCCTTGACAGGAATTTCTGATAAGGTGCAGCCCTTATAAATGCTGTTAAAGGCATTTATAGGCATTAAAGGTAGCATTATGCGCTGGTTCTATTGGGTCAAGCTTGAAGCTGCTCTGATGGCAATGCAAGCAATGTCCAAGACTGACAATGTGAGAACTACAGATATGTCATTATAAATCAATATTATGAGCCAAGTATAATGAGATGAATTATAAGATTAAAATTATCTGAATTTCAGATAAACTTTCTCTACTGCATTTTTCTACAGTAAATCAAAAAGAAATGGAGGAGGATACAATTCTATTATTTCTAAGTAAAGTTTCTATTGACAGGAAGATGACATGGGCCTAATAATATCAGATGTTGGACTGATATTAGAAAGCCACCTTTACAAATATTCTTGTTAAAGAGGAGGTTATAAAACGATCAGCAATAACTCAAGCTCTTCTTACCTCTCTGCAGAAGCTGACTATGTTTTCCCAAAGCTCCTTGGCCTCGCCCTCATCGTTCCGTCTCCGAGCTTCCACGTGCATGCTCTCCCTCCTCTTCAGGGGCTTCACCACCTTGCGAAGGGTGAGGTACTGCTGCGCTGTGTGGCATGCCGCACAGTTCTTGGCCTTGACGTCGTTGAGAAGCGTGCATGCAGGGCAGCTCCACTGTCCTGCTTTCTCCTGAAGGCTAGATGAAGTGGAGGAACCCGAGGATGAAACGGCAGAGGAAGGGAACAACCGGGCCTGTTTTCGCGTCTTATGCCCCGATGAGGTGGAGGATGGTGGACAAGAGCATGAAGCAGAGCCGGACCCTGTAGGGAGGCCACAGTGTGAACAAGAGCAGGGCAGAGGGTTCTGTTGCTCTTGAAAGCCATGCAGTTTGGAAGAACCACAAGCTGAGCACTTGGCCGCCCCTGTGGGGTTCCGCAGGGTGCATCTGGAGCAGGACCAGGTGCTAAAGTCCGGACTAGATGGGCTAGCTGGAGTAAACCGTACTGTTTCACAGCCTACCAGGTCGATGAGGTCAGCACCGGTCCTTGATGATCTGCAGGTCTCACACTTTGCTGAGCTAACAGCATTGGGCAAAGAACAGCTAGGGCACTTCCAGGTGGGGTTAGCTGGTGGGGTAAGGTGGGGTGTCAATGGGTGGTCTTCTTCTTCAAGGATGCTGAGGCGCTTGCTAGGGTACGAAGGTTCCTGGGGTTGTGCGTGTTTGGGTTTGGACAGCCGCTGTGGGCCTGGCTGGGGGGGCACACTGGCCGTTGACGGGGAGGTTGGGCTCGGGCTGTTGGTTCCTTGGGTTTGCGGGCGACCCGGCGGGGGAACTTCCCTCCGGCTGCGGGGTACAGGGTTGTTCTGGAGGGAGGGGAATGTTGGATAAGGCGAAGAGAGGCCCTGTGAAGAAACTTGGGGAGATTCTGGAGGATCACAGGGAGTGTTGGACTCATCAGTGAGGTCAATGAGTAGGGGTGCTGATCCAGCTGTGTGAACAGGAAACCCACTGACAGGGGTACGCACTTCAGGCACAACAAGTGCCTCTGGGGGGATTTTAGGCAAAGACAGTTTCCTGGGTCCACCACAGGCTGAACAGGACAGTGCCACAGGGGTGTTGTGGAGTGTGCACCGTGCACAGGCCCAGCCGGGGCTCTGCCCTTCATAGCCAATCACTTCTCCGTTGCTCTCAGATCGACGCAACACTTCCTCTTTAACTGGATGCTGTCCATTGGGCTCAAGCAGTACTGTGGGGGTGACTGTTGGAGTTGGGGGCTCATGTGGAGCAGATGGGAGGCCATTGGCAGTGACAGCTAAGGTTGTCGCAGGGGGGGTGTTGGTGGCGGAAGACGGACCGAAGCCACAGACTGAGCAGGCTCCAGATCCCTGTGGATTATTAAGAGTACAGCGTGGACAGGCCCAGCGGTGCTCCTCAGTGCTGCTCAGCCGCAGGATCTTGTTGAGATCGGGCTTCTGGCGCGGCGCCTCACAGATGGAGCAGCGGGGCGCCGCGCCTGCATTCAAGAACGTGCAGCGTCCACATGACCACTCGTTGCTTCGCACCGCTGCAGCCATGGAGCCGGGAGAGTGGGAATGGCTGCAAAACAGAAAACACAGAGTTCCATTTTCACAAAAAGGGCGTTTTAAATGAAGAAAACACATCAGACGTTGTTTGGACGTTGTTTCACAATACGGATAAAGTATCTTAGAGCCATATTTTTCAGGTGAAAATTTTTGCGCAATCCTTTACATACAGCTTTGCGCTTCTATCATAATTCATATTATTTTGTAGCATAAGAGTTAAGGGGATGAATAGTGAAAGTATTTTGGTAATAAAAAGTCAGCAAAATGTATTGTTTTCTCTCTAACTCGTTAATCCTAATAATTTAATTCTAAAACGAATAATTTATTTTTTTTTGGCAGATATTGGTGACAAACTAAGATCTATTCTGGTGTTAGACAAATGCACTCTGAGTCCCAAATTTGTCCTGTATTTATCAAGGACATCCATCTTCTTCCATTTTATCCGGGGCCAGGTTGTGGAGGCAGCAGACTTCCAGACCCACACACACCTCCTCCAGCTGCTCTGGGGGACCTAGAGGCGACACCAGCTCAGAGACATAGTCCCTCCAGCGTGTCCTGGGCCTTCCATGAGGCCTCCTCCCAATAAGACATGCCTGGAACACCTCCGGATGGAGGAGACCAGGAGGCATCCTGAACAGTTGATCAAGTAACCTCAGCTGGCTCCTTTCGACGTGGAGGAGCAACGACTCTACTCTGAGCTGCTCCCGGGTAACTGAGCTCCTCACCCAATCTCGAAGGGTGTGCCACCCTGCAAAAGAAACTCATTTCGGCTGGTTGTATTTGCAATGTTATCCTTTTGGCCATTACTCAGATCTTATGACCATAGGTAAGGGTGAGAATTTAGATTGGTCCGTAAGTCCGTAAATCTAGAGCTTTGCCCCCCGACTCAGCTCCCTCTTCACCATGATGGTCCAATACAGAGACCGTATCACTGCCGAAGCCGCACAGATCTGTCTATCGATCTCACGGTCCATCCGTCCCTCACTCATGAACAAGACCCCTTGTCCATGTATTTAACAAGGACAAATTTGTTAAATACAGAAAAGGGAAGAATAGAGAACGCACAAATAAAATTGAGCATCATTAAATTCAAACAAATATTAACTGGTGTTCGCAATATTATAAAACGTGGCAAGGACGAGTAAAGAGGAACATCTTTGTAGGAAAATGTTGGATACCCAATGATTATGTGTGCTTCCAGAAACTAAAGTTAAACACAGAGCTACATGTCACTGAGACTAGAGTAGAAGTAAAGACAGGATTAGAAAAGCAAAACAGGCTAGGAGAGGCAAAGATTAGCCAGTGCAGGAGAGAAAAAAAAAAAAAAAATCTAATCTGCCTTCTGGGGGCATACAGGGCAGTAAATCCATATACAATGGCCACCTGATTAGAGTCAGGGAGACAGCACATGGAGAGGAGGAGCCAGAGGGTAGGAGAGGAACGAAGGCTGCCTGCCTCTGAATGCAAGAGTAGAAATGCCTGAGTCTCACTGACTGACTCTTATTAGACTGGGAAAAACACACAGGATCTCTTGTACTTAATATTAACACCTTTCTCTTCGCTTGGTGAATTTTAACACAGGGCAGAAAGGATCAGCTTAAGGTCATGTCAGTTGCAGGCCTCAGTGGATTTTGAATGGAAGAGTATGTTAATTCTGAGAGCATGTTTTTATAACTATCCATCTGGGGAATAAATCGCTAAAGCCAGAAGCTATTAATAAATTTAACAATACAAAACAGACAGGGATGCATCCATCCTGTAGACTGACTTGTACGTGTGATTCATTCTGCGGGCCTGCAGCTCAGTCAATCTGAGGTATCGACAGTGGGTGTAGCTGGGCTCTTTAGAGGCAGAGCGGCACAGCTGGATACTTTTAACTCTGCAGGAGTGAAGTTGGAAAAAAAAAGCCCAGCCTCAAGGGAAGGGACAGGGTTAGAAAAAAAAAAGCCCATAAATGTCACTGTCACTCAGGCTGCTCATGTGTGAACACCAACTCAGAGAAGGTACTGCGGGAATATAACCAAAGTGGAGCATGAGGTGCTAAGAGTGAGAATGCTGCATTGCTCTTCAAGTTGATCCCAGAGGGAAACATGTTGGGGCAAAATTAACAGAAGATTCTAAACTGGTTCAGTCTTATCAAACTTTTATGTTTTGGTAGGAAAACCACAATAAGATCAAGGCACCATCCAACATGCAGGCAACAGGGTCAACTACCCAGGTTAACATCAAAAGCATTCAAACTGCACATTAATCCAAAGCTAACGTTTTACTGGTCGCTAGCAGCCGTATTGTTACCGACAGTATATAACTAAACAAAAGCTGTTAAGAGTTTTTTTTTGCTATCACTATTATTGTTATCACAACAAATACCAGTTTATAACACTTCATTTCATCCCACCTGCCATGTTTTTCCATGGGATCCTAGAGAAATGAGTTTCTCCATCTGTATGGAATTCAAGTTATGCGATACTGAAACATAAGTCCCATTTACACTATCCTCTGGAAACTGATCCGTGCCGAGCACGGTTCCTCACCTCCTAGTGACGATCTACAGTACTACTGCTCTCAAAAATATGTATTATCCCTTAGTTATGAAAGTACACTAACCTAATATTTCAATGAATAACATTATTCTATCCTTCAATAGATATTTATTTAACATCTAATTATTTCCGTTGCTTTGTCTCATGTTTATGGATTTTCTTATTTTAGGTAAAACATTATCATTCTTTACCTAAAATAAAATATATTAATATTATTAAAATTATAAATATATATATATATATATATATATATATATATATATATATATATATATATATATATATATATATATATATATATTTTTTTTTTTTTTACTTCTTTCTTTTTTTCAAAAAATAAAAATGTTTCAGTTGAAACAAAATCATTTTCTTTGAGACCAGATGTCGTGGAATTTTCCATTCATTTAGTAAGCCCCAATGAAGCCAGGCTGGCCCCACCGTTTCCCCCTTAGTAAATTAGTTGGATTTTCTTAAAGATATATCTACATTAATAAATACATGCATGTATTAAAGAGCGACCAGTATGACATTTTCAAGCCCAAAGCTGATACAGACTTGTTGACACCAATCAAATTGATCCCAGATATGTTCGGCCCATTTTTTTTCCCCATCTTCTTCATCCATTTAAACAATAGCAATCTCACAGTGAGAACAAAATGTAAAAAAAAAAAAGTCTAAATTCAAAAAGAAATTTTTTTTTCTTATCTAACGAAATATCAATAATGAATAGCAGATGGAGGGACTTACATGGCTGATGACTAGGCTAATGATTCTGCAAATTTATGCACATGTTGGTCGATAACAATACAAGAAAACAACTCTAACATCGGCCAAAAGTATTGATCAACCAATGTATCCATCTATTCCCTAATATTTATGGGCACTGTCTAATTAAATACCTAATGTTTATGCATCATATATACATTAAAGTTTCTATATCATTCTGTTTTAAACCTTCCAAAATTAACTACAGGCGCATTATGAAATATTAACTTCAACGAATACGTTGTAAAATATTAGATTTCGTTAAGTATTTTATAACAAAGAAAAAAAACCTAGTAATTATCTGTCAAATAAATGTGTATATCCTTCCGACTTGGGTTACTGTAATAAATCTTTTAATGATACTTTAATCTACTGAGATGAAGTATTGCATTGGACCACCTTAGCTAGAGATCCCTGGACCCCACTTACTGTTAAGGAATGTTTTTGTTGTTCACACTCCACTAACTTCCTTATAGCAGTGTGCACAAACACACAGACACACACACCTTTTGTCCTTGGCTCTATGCTAAGTGGAGAGGCCTGAACTAAAAGTGCTCACTTCAGCTCATCGGCTCCTCTGTGTTGCAGACCTGGGCTGGTAGCCAGGTGGCTTAGCGAAGAGGGAGACAGCAAAGGCAAACCTCACCTCCAGACACCTAATCGCTCTTCGCTGAAGTACTCTGTGCAGACCACTGCCCATTCAGCTTCTGCTGCTGCTTTATATTCACTTAAGGAGCAGGTTTTATGCCTGGAGAATTTTATTTTCAAAGCTTCACCATATGAAGATGTTCTGAAATTCAGCAGATCATTTTAAAGGGTATGAGCTTAAAGTTTTACTGAAATTAGAAAACTTCTAAAAGTTTGGAGAAACCTAAATGGGTGAGATGTCTCTGGGAAAGCTGTTAGGTTCCAGATAAAGGTGCCCTATGAGAGGGCAGAGGACAGCTGAATGCTGCAGTGTGAACAGCAAAACCCCCGATAATGATCACTGGGCCGAGACATATGACAGGCGGCTTGGATTCCGTCTACGATTTAAACTCTGCTGAGAGATCAAGTGAGCCGAGCCTTGCCAGTTTCTTCCAGCCTCACTGTGAGACATTTGGCCTTTGTGCGACAGTCATTAGCAGAGCCATTCTAAGGTTGGCTCTCAGCCCGGCGCCTCTGGGAAAAGTGTCATACCTTTCCTGGGCAGCGGGGGCAGACTCTCCTTAAGCACATGAAAAGAATGAAAATGAAAATGAAAACATTTAATATTCCGTTTTTAGTTACATGTGTAATGTTTTAAAAAATACAATGGAATGACAGTGGAACTAATATTTCCACCTGCATCTAAACAACTAAAATATATTTTCAGTGCTTTTTATTTTTTTCTTAGTTGTTTAGGGTATGAACATTGACAGAGGACCGGGTAAAAACACAGCAACTCTGCTGCTCAGAGAGATTATGATGGGATTATACACTGGGTGCTGAGCCATTTTCTACAAATCCACCTCCTTTCTGCATTTTAAAACAGACCATCTCATACCCGTATAAATAACCAGTGTGTATATATGTATCCTGCTTGGCAGTTAGCGATTTTGATTAATTATGGAAGCAAATCCTAATTAATCCGCCTAGTGGTAAGGGCATAGAGCTTGGAATCCTGGGGTTGTGAGTTCAAAACCCACTTCTACAGACTGCTACTTTGGCTCTCTGAGCAAGACGC